ACAAAATTTTTTTTGTTCTTTTTCTTTGGTTCCGTTCGATGAATGATCGTATCCTTTACGTCTATTATTGTTTTTCTTTGTCATCTAATTTTATCTGTGCATGTATTTGTCATTGTTCTTTACTTCTTTTTTCGTTTGTGTTCGTTCGTTATTTGCCAGTATATGTATATTTGAAAAAGAAAACAAAAGAAAATAACTTTAGAATAAGAAAATATATCTTTATGGCAGACAGTATCAACATAATTTGCAGATATAATATGATAATACGTGTCGGTTATATTCTATTAATCATTTGTATATTTGTACAATGTGATCAGGATGAACCAGCTAAAACACATATTGGTAAGCTTAATGAGATGAATAAGGTAACAAATATTTCTTTTTCTGATTTAGCCATTGTTGGTGCTGGAGTTGGAGGTATATCAGCAGCTTACTGGTTAAAATATTATTTAAATGATTCTGTTGCAATAACGATTTATGAATCAGATCAAGTATGTTTATCATTATTTTTTAGAAGTTCGTTATTTATTCCAAGTATGTTTAGGTTGGAGGTCGATTGAAAACTGTAAATATTGATGAAAATGAATATGAAGCTGGTGGATCAATTATACATGATAAAAATTTATATATGAAACGATTTACTGATGAATTAGGTAAGATCATTGACTTGTGTAAGTTGAGAAAGAAATCTAGCAAAACAAATAGTTTTAATATAAATTGGTTTTTTATAAGATTAAAATAGAACGAACAAACAGGTTAACCTTTCGCTGAGATTTTTTATAAAACAATATCATAAGTAATGCATTTATCTATGTTACCGATACACTGTGTTAGTATGAATATGGACAATGAGTCACTAAAAGAGTCATAGCCCAATATCTTTTCGACAACTATGAATAGCTTAGGTCAGCCTGATACAGAGTTCTTGCTTTTCTCATACACACTAACTGACCATAAGAGCAGATGTGTATAATAATCTAGCCAGCATGTCATCGAACGGGTAATCCGAGACAAATGGTTGTTATTAACTTGTTTAGAATCACTCTGTGGCTGATGGTGTTGAAGTTTGCACACAGCATCTTATGAATATGTGTCGAACTAGGTAGCTGGTCAGCCATGGTAGCCACTGACTAGAGGTATGCAGGATCAATCCATCCTGCTCCACTAGTTAGGATCAGGGTAAGAAAATTTTTCTTAGTCAAGATACAAAAAAGCTTACATTGTACATATTTAACGCTGATTACACCGACATCAGTATTCACTGAATACTAATCCACTGGAGCTAGCATTTCGGTATTTTCACCGAAATTGCACAACTCTGAGTGTGTTGTTTTTGTAACGGTATGTTCTAGTGCTTCAGTGAACACTGGTGCCAGTGTGTACTAACCGAATTGAGTCGATGGTTAGTAAACTGAAACAGCACACTTTTAATCTATACAATTACAATGAAATAATGATAACTAATATAAATAAACAGAAGTTTATAGAAATAAGTATTATTCTTTTCTTGTTATGTGACAAGAAAATTATCGAAACATACATTGATATTTTGCAATATTTAGGCTTAAAACGACTTAATGTACCAAGTACACTTAAATATATAATGACTGATGATGGTTCTCAAACATTATTTTCTACTTTATCACGTTATATTCCGAATATATTTCTTATTCTATGGCGATATGGTGTTGATGCATTGCATTTAAAATTTTGGCTTGATAAAAAATTATCAAATTTTGCTCGGTAAATCGCTTTCTTTTTTCTTTCAGTAATGAATTAATATAAGTTGTTTTTAGGATATATGATTATCAAGAAAATGGTCGAACATTTAATACAATTGAAGAATTTTTACAAATGCTTGATCAAGATTTTTATGCAGCAACACGCGTTTCATTTCGAAAATTTTTATTTGAAAAAGGTTTTCATAAAAAATTTATTAATGAAATTGCACAAATGGCAACTCTAGTTAATTATGATCAATCAGTTGATACAATAAATGCTTTTCCTGGTAAGACCTTAAATAAAAAAGAAAAAAAAAAGCTAATAATTTATTTTTATCACTTATCTTATTGATAAGATTTCACGTATCAGTTATTAATCATTACTTTTTCTTTAATTATGCATGATTTTTTTCATACTACTGATGTTTCTGTATATATCTATTTGATAAATGATATCATCTTCACATAATTATCGACCTTCACGTCCTACATATGTGGCAACAACAATAATATTATTGTTTTTGGTTAATATATTACTAAGTTTGAGATGACAAGGACTTTATTAATGATTAGTATGAGTCTTAATTGATTGTTTATCAGATATATGAGCGAAAATGGGCCATGCGTGAACGAGTCTTTTTTTCGATTTCTGCAGTGCTCTTAGAGTTGCTAGTCCGATTTATTTTCTTATATTTGAGAAAAACCATCATTGCCAAACATTAACTTGTGTTAACATCACATTTCATGCAACGTGGGTTAACCTTCAACGAGAAAAAAAATAATAGCTCTTTTAAAGGTGATAATTATTAAGAAAATAATAGTTGTGAAATTGATGTACAACTTGATGAATGAACATGTCTAATTTTTATTGATCGAGATTTGTTTGTTTTTCTTTTAATGAATAAACAATTCAGAAGTCTTTGAATGAATCTCGAGACCTATCTCTCAGAAATATAATATTGAATCGACTTTGATTTGAACGAGTAAAATTTCGAGATTATATATATATAAAACAAAATAGAACTATTATTATCATTTGCCCATTTTTTTATATCGCTTCCGCAGGATACTCTATGGCCATCTTCAATTTAATCTTGATTCTTTTTAAGGATTACTTTTTCTTTTATGAATATATCTAACCTAAACTTATGACGGAAAAGCTCAAGAATTTCAGAATAAACTCCAAATCATAGATTAAATCTAGGATGAAATTTTCAACAAGATCTAACTCCAAAAAATGGTTTTTTAGAGATCATTTATTGTTCTTGAATGAAATTTTTTATTTTCCTATCATTTGACGATTTTCAGAAAAGATTTGTAAAGTTAAGAATTGATTTTCGAACATTTTTGATTTAATAACAAGAGAATTTTTTGTTTCCATATTCGTGCTCACTCACGCCTGAAAAATCTTCTGCAAAACGTACCATTTATTTTTCAAAAATAATGTTGGAACTTGCAAGACTCGTAAATGAAAATGCACTCAGTAAAATTCTGATATTGTACTGTATCACATCGCTAACGTTTGTTTTTTATAAAAATAAATCAGCAGAACCAAAACCTATAGGACGGAGTTCAGCATATCTAAAGTAACTCAACACATATCTCTTTCATTAAAATCAACTAAAAGAAATTCTCAAGCCTAGATATACAAGTGTTTTCATATGGTCATTTTTGAATTATTGATTATATTTTATGGTAGACTTAAATCGAAATAATTTTGAAATGAAGTTTATTGTTTCTATTAAATGAAACATCTTATGACTACTCATTGGAAGGAAGAACACTCCTTCTTTTAGGCCACTTTGAGATATAGGGTGCTGCTTAGCGGCAAATTCCACAGCGATACGCACTAATTAAACATAACAACAGATGTGTGTTACAATGTAGTGAACCTGCCATCAGACGCGTAATCTAAGACAAATAGCTTTTAGTGACTTATCCATGGTCATTTCATCATGACGAGTGACACTGAAATTTGTTCACAGTACCTTGAACATACTTGTTAAACAATGTAGACACTCACTTACGTGGAATTTTGTTGATTCAACGCTAGGAATCATGTTAAAATGCTTTTCTTGGACATAACCATGATTTACTAATAATAAACAATTGATTGATGTTGAAATAATAAAATTAATGTATTGTCTGTTCAAGTTTTCGTCATATATCAAAATACTTTGATGAAAATGATTTTCTTCACTCATCATAAATGAAATAGTGTAAAAGTTTATACTTATTGAATTCTAAATTTAGTTTATTTTTCAAATAATATCTTCCTCAATAATCATCTTAACAATTATCTATTTTTTTTTATCTATTCATAGAAAACTAAGGATCAGTAAATTTTATTTTTTCTAATAAAAAATATTTTAGGTCTTGTATCATTAATGGCTTCTGCTTCAACACTTTGGCATGTAGAAGGTGGTAATTATCTTGTTCCTAAGAAAATTCTTGAACATCTATTAAAACAATCCGATGTTCAATTTGTCAAGGGACATGTTAAAAGTGTTACAGAAGTTCATCGTATTGATATAGATGATCAAGGTGGTAATGTTCGTCTTTCTTATCAACCAACTAATAGTCAACTTGTACATGCTGTTGATTATGATAATGTTATCATCGCTTTTCCACTTCATCGTGATAATATAAATGATTTTGTTTTACAAGCAACCGATCATTTTAATCAACATGACTATCGTATGCAATCCACACATGCAAATTTTCTTCATGGAAAACTTAATTGTCAACAATATAATTTAACAAAAAGTGAATGTGAAAGATTAAAGGCTATTTTTTATACAAATCCATCATTACCATATCGTTGTGTTGCTCAACAACAAACTGTTAATGAAAATGAAAAACAATATAAAAAAATAGACAAAACTGTATATAAAATATTCTCACCAGATAAACTATCTTTATCAGATTATAAACAAATATTTGATAATGATAATTTTCAACTTATTCAAGATATACCTTGGTTAGCTTATCCAAAATATGAATATCCACAAAAAATGCCACCTATACAAATAAATAAAAATATTTTTTATCTTAATGCAATGGAATGGAGTTCATCGTGTTTGGAAATTGAAGTGATTAGTGCAAGAAATATTGCTATGCTTCTTACGAAAAAAATTGGAGTTGACCTTAAACGAAGTGATAAACATGTTGAATTTTGATACGTTCTTTTTTTTTTATACATTCCTTCCTTTTTCTACTTGAAATAAAGGTCAAAGCAATTAATTGATTTTTGTAATTCTAGATAAAAAAGAAAATCTAATGAATCCAGAAGAGAAAAAAACTTTTGATAATACATCAAGTTCTTATTTATCATTAAAAGCTGAATTATTACGTAAAAAACAAGATATTCAACGAGCATCATCAGCATCTATATCTTCCACAGCTATACTTGATAATTTACAATCAACATCAAGTTCATTAAAACTTAAAGCAAAACCAGACTTAGATATTGAAATTGTTAATCCATCAAAAAAGAAAAAGAAAAATGAAGAAATTATTTCTCCTCCTCCATCATCATCTTCAACTTTATCTCGTGACGATGAAATAGTTTTTGCTAAATCACGTGCAATTCTTGAAGCAAAATCAAAATTATATGATGAAATAATGTCCAATAGTGAAATGAAATTATTAGCGGAAGATGATGGTGATGATGATAATGATAAATCATTTCTTGTTGATTTTGAACGAAAAATTTATGAAACAAATCAAAATAATAATAAAATTGAATATACAGATTCATTTGGACGTACACGTTTAGTTACATCAGATGAATATGAACAACTTAAAGCATCGGATAAGAAAAAATCTTATGATAGAATTCAATCAAATACAACTGAAAATGAAATTGATCGTGTTGAACGTTTACATCGTGAACAAATGCGTAGTAAATGGGAATCAGACATGGAAGCAATAAGAAATAAAACTCATTTACATTATCAAGATGTTTTATTTGATGAAAAACGTGAACATGGTGTTGGTTATTATAATTTTTCTACAGATGATAAACAACGTGCTGAACAAATGGAAACATTAAATGAATTAAGAACAAGTACAAAAATTGAACAAACAAAATTTATGCAAGAAAAAGAAAAACGACAATTAAATATGGCTGAACGTTTAAATAAAATACGATTAAGAAAAGCGAAAGAAATGGGTATCAATTTACCAGAAAATAATCTAAATAATAATGAAACAATATTAGAATGTACAGAAAAATCACAAATAGAATCAGATATTAAAGTAAATTATCAAGTGTTTCTACGAATACATTACCACAATGTCAGAGATGACGTTTTTCTTCTTTATTAAGAATAGAACTCTTATAGATTGTTTATATCAATCATGAGCAATTGTTTATGTTCTATCTAAAGTTAAAGTCGAAATTCATGAAATACAAAACAAAGATTTCGAAATTAGTGAAAAATTCGTGCTTTTTAGTTCTTTATCCTACTAACTCAAATTGATTTTGAAACCTAGGTTTTGTATTAGACAAAATCTAAGAATAGGTTCGGAAGGAGCATTCAGAACTAAAAACAATTGACATGAAGAATTGCTGAAAGTTCGGTAACTCTCAATATTGTCCATGTGTTTTTTTTTGAGTTGGGATAGACCAATTCCTTGAATTTCTATTCCTAGTTTAGAATATTTCCAGTATTAACAATTACTGCACTATTAGCGACTTTTCATAGTAGCTGTGTTCAGCTAAAAAAGTGAATTTTTGACCAATTGTCTATGTCAGGTAACCTCTGTTGCAAAAGTCTTTGCACAAAATGTTTATTCATTTTTCAGTCGCCTAAACGTCATTAGTGAGAATCAAAAGTAGTTAGCTAAAATCAGATTTTTGTGCTCTTTCTGAATATGTGATCAGAATATTTCTCTGACTGATTCTTGATTAGGGACAAGCCAAATGTTTGACAATGTCGAAAATGATGTTTGTACAGAATTTTATTGGATGTATTTTTGTGTTTTGATCAATACCTACTCCACGCAAAATATAAAGATATTTGAATTAGTCAATTTTATAGAGCGAAGTTTGCTCTACAAACTATGCTATTTACTTTGGTTTTCTATCTTGAAGCAAATACATGAAATCTTTTGTATTATAAATAGAAGATTTTGGAAAATTGACTTTTTGACAGGATTTTATTTTACATACCAGTCAGTTCTCAGAAAAACGTCTATAACCTTTTATTCATTTGAGTTGAAGCCTATTGTAATATATGGTTTTATAGAGAATTAAATACTCTACAAATTGCGAATTTAGAATTGCTTCAAAATCCAATCTACACAAGTGATGAATAGCGGGAAACCATGTGTTCTCTTGGTCGAGATGTTATTCTTCGCCTCTTTCCAGTATTAATTTACAGCTAACCAATCTTAAGCCAAAGAGAGATATTGAACATATATTAGTTAAGAGCAGATAAGACTGATTCCAACGAGCTACTTTTGGTTCGTACCAAATATTTTTTAGTGGCTGAAAAATGAACAAACATTAGTAGAAAGACTTTTTGTACAAATATCATTTTCGACATTGTCAAACATTTGGCTTGTCCCTAATCAATAATCAACCAGAGAAATATTCTGATCACATATTCGGAATGAGCACAAAAATCTGATTTTAGCTAACTACTTTTGATTCTCACTAATGACGTTTAGGCGACTGAAAAATGAATAAACATTTTGTGCAAAGACTTTTGCAACAGAGGTTATATCGACTACAGGTTCGGAGAGAGCAAAAATATTATCATGGTAGATATAGATAATGCACAGTAACTACAATTTAAATCAGAAGAAAATGTCATGTTTGGCATAATATTCTAGGCATCGGTGCATCTCTAAATGTTTCTGAATTCTTTCTGATAAATAATTTTATATTCAAAGGAATTGCCGAATGCTACGATTAATACAAAAGAAAAAATTGACAAATCAGTATCTATTGAAACGAATGAAGAAAAACCAACAGGATCAACCCATTCAAACATCATACAGTCAACAAAATTACAAATATCGGAACAGGTTTATCCTTTTAGCAAACTTTTGAGATTTAATCTTATCTTATATTTTTTTTTCAGACGTTGCAAACGACTCCTACTCAACATCAACAACTATCGCTTCAAAACAATAATCCAACATTACAAAAATCAAATTCATCTTTTGCTTACCCATTTCCTGTCATGCGAGCTAGTAACACTTCATCATCAATATCTAATAAACATTAATTATTGTGATATATAAAATATTTTGTTTCATGGAAATAAATTTCGTTTTGTAAATAAAAGAAAAATATTAAAAAAATGAAACCTCTATTAGTAAAGATCTTCCACTTCGAAAAAAAAATTTGAATTTTATGAAACTACTTTGGCTAGAAATACATGTGTCATACGCAAATACATTCCTAATATGAACTTCAACATTGTTTTTGCAGTTTTGATTGTTATTTGGAACCTCTGTCAAATGGATATATGTGAATATTTTTCATATTATCCTATGCAGCATTTACGGCTAATATACTAAAACTGTTGTTGATTGTTTGTTATAACTGTACATGTAAAGAAAAGCAATGACATCGTAATATCATCTTAAAGCAAATGAAAAATATTCAATTAATTAATCATTACAACGATAGCAATGGTTAATCACAATGTGAAATAGCTGAAAACTCGAATTTTTTTACTGGGTTTTGTATCCAAATATTTTAAATCAAAAGAAAGAAAAAAGGTCACTTGACTAATTATTAAACAAAACTAAAATCAAAATATCAAAGAAAAATTGAATAGCTTCGACGCAATAAAACTTGATGAATTGTACATCAACATTCATTAAATTAAGATACATCGAAATCGAAACAATAATATAGTACCTAATGAAACAAAATAAAGTTTTACATTCTGTTAGACTCTTTTTAGGATTTATAAGTATTCAAATGAAGAAAGGTGAAGAATACAAAGAATGATCGCTGATTATTTCAAAACTCATTAGTAAAGAAACTATTATTTTGAGATTTTTTTCAATTGCTCGTATCTTACATGACAGGTCCCATAGATTAACACTCTTCAAAAATCTCGACGGCATTCAATTAAGAGACGTTTCACCGTATTAATAAAATATAAATTAACTCATACGGAAAGAATTATTATTTTGAAGTATCTAAAAGCTTATTCAACTTAAGACATCTCAATTGCATAATGTTAAGAACATAATTTAGCATATTGAAAGGACATAAAAAAAGCGTTTTATTCGACATGTATAAATATAAAATGTTGAATATTTATTCTTCTATATCGATATCAATAAAACTACTACAATCATAAATATCATGATACCCTTGTACAAAACAAAATAACGATGATTAATCAAATTATTCATCGATAAAATAACAACGTACGATAAACTTAGAACATAGTGCAACTATAGCATCAGTGGAAATCTTTTTCACAATGTTTTATTTAATATATTCGATAATTTTATTCGATACAGAGGAAGAAAAAAAAACACAGAAATATTTTAAATGATAAAAATGTGCTGTTCTATTTTTTGCCAGTTGCTGCGTTCCATGCTTGATTCCAAGCAGGCCATGTTGCAAGATCTGGACAATAACGTGGATGAAGGAGACGTTCACACTTTTCTTCATATCTATGTGAAAATAAATAATATTTTGATAAATGTACATATACATTGTAAAATTTCATAATTTAATTTACTTTTTCTTGGCTTCTTTCATATGACTTTTTGTGTCACTGGTCAAAAATCGACGAGACTGATCTAGAAATTGGCTAGCATCATCTTCGTTTTGAAGAAATTCTCGAATAGCTCGTTTCTCTTCTGAAAATTCAAATAATAAATATAAGAATAATAAGACAACTAAGTCAACATTTTTCCTACCACGTAAAGAAGCATCATCTACATCGTCGGAACTATCATCACCATTTTCAACAGTATCACTGTCATCAGCATACCGATCGTTTAATGTCAATTGTTCACATTGTACCAATGTGAATAATAAACCAAAGAGCATCAATGAAATAGCAAGATATTTAGAATTCATCGTTGTTTTTTATTGATATACCTATATAATATTCACAAGTAACCTTAATAACAACACGGCGAAAAAGAAAATATAATAGTTACCTATATGATTCTTAGATCT